AGACATTTCCACTAATATTCAATTTGTATTTACCTTTTATAGTGCTGAAAAACTGGAAGAATTAGAAGAACAACAAGAATTAAATGCCTCCAATCAGCCCCAGCTTATGCGCCTTGTCTTGGCTCTTTGGTTTGCAATCATATCCCACTCTGATTTGGTGTGCTATTTTATGATATTCTTGCATCAGATTAAATCTGCCACCATATTAAGTTTACCATTGCCATTGATGGTTTTTCTGTGGGGTACACTCACTGTTCCTAGGCCAACAAAGAATTTCTGGGTTACTCTTATCGCCTACACTGAAGTAATTTAAATAAAAATTGTAATAACAAAACAAAGCACCTTCRTATTAATGCTATATTTTAATTAGGTTATTGTGGTCATTAAATGTATGTTTCAATTTGATATGATCCCATGGAATCAACAAGTTGTTACTGACAACATGCCATTCTTCCTTCCAAGAATTATTGGCATTGAGAGGAAACCAAATTACGCCACATATGATTTATTTTTACTTCTTGTTTTGTTTTTTCACCGGTAAAAACATTATTATTAGTTATTACAAATATGTTATATAACCTGCACATACATATGTATAATAAWTTTAAATAATTATTTTAGAACTATGTTAAAATCATTGGGCCTTTGGAAAAGTTCATTGTCATTTAAAGGAACACCTATTAACCAAATATCATTGTTTGACACAATTGACACTCGATGTTCAATGGGTTCTGAAGGTTATCAAGGATCTGTAGACAATGATCCAAGTACTGAACAAACAACTGTTGTGTTAGCTCCAGAATTTTTGCAATCCAGTAACAAAGATGAACAGTTAATTCAAAAATCATATGATCAATCATTTGATAAATCAAACTCAGTGGAGACTGATAAYCTCTTAGAAATAATGCCATTATCGTAAGAACGCACATTATATGTATTTAGAAATGAATTTTAAAATTATTTTTATTTTTATTTTTAGTCTCAAAAAGCATTGCAGTCCTCTAGTGTCTTTCTTCGAACAGTTAATAGATTCAAGTTCTAGGGTTAATGCGGACGTTTATACTTATATGTTTTTATGTGATTTCTTCAATATATTTGTTGTTGTTTTTGGATTCTCAGCTTTTGGTGTAAATAATTTTAAGTTTATACCAAACCAAATCAATTTTAAATTATATACTAATTTATTTGTGTTTATCTTAACAGTCTCAAAGTGATGGTGGTGTGTCTCAATATTTTGAAGAAAATAAAGTACCTGTTCCATTTTTAATCATGTTGACCCTTCAATTTGCATTAATTACTGTTGATCGGTTGCTTTATTTAAGAAAGTACATTCTGGGAAAGATACTATTTCAGTTTGTGTTAATAATTGGTTCTCATATATGGATGTTTTTTATATTACCTGGGGTTACAGAAAGGTAAAACTAATTTGACAATGTGTATTGGCATTTTACAAATTTTAATTTTATTATATAGACAATTTAACGCTGTAATTCCTCCTCAACTATGGTATATGGTAAAATGTTTTTACCTATTACTGTCTGCATATCAAATTAGAAGTGGGTATCCCACAAGAATTCTTG